CTGTCGAGCGGGTCGGAGGACGAGGGGTGTGACTGGGAGGAGGCGAAGCCGCGGGCCCGCCATCTCGCCAAGTCCAGCCACCTCAGTCACCTCGGTCGCTTCGCCTCCGGCTCGCTGGGCGACGATGCTGGCTTTCCTGCCACGACCTCCGCTCTCTGGACTGCTCACAAGCGTGCCGTTACTGAGCGGTGGAATGCGGAATGGTCGACTTCGTCGCTCCCCCGCCCCCTCGCCAACGTCGTCAAGACGGCTTCCTCAGCGCACAAGTACTACGCCGGGCTCCCGAGACGTCATGCAACACTCCTCTGCCGCCTACGCACCGACGCGTCTGCGCTCAACAAACATCACGCCTGCTTTGACTCGTCCCGATCCGAACTCTGCGAGTGCGGCGAGGTGGAGAGTCGGGAACACTTCCTGATTCTCTGCCCGCTGTACAAGCAGGCTTGACACTTGCTCTACAAACACATCCGGCTTCGTGCGACCCCCACCGTGGCTCGCTCCTCGGCAACATCGACTTCCGCCTTCCCCTCCTCGACTTCATCGCCGCAACCGGCCGTTTTGCCCGCCTGACGGAGGCAGCGAAGGTCGAACAGCGGGACAAAGACTTGAGGGAGGGATGTGGCGGCAGCGAGGCGTAGGAGGACAGCCCCAGAGCATCGACCACTCCAACTTTCCTCCCCCCAATGCCCTCTTCGACTCTCACTTGCCCAATTCGCCCCCCTTCCGCCTTGCTTCAAGCCCGACAAGCACCCTACACCACACTCTACCACACGACCTGCCCACCTCCCGTCTCCGCCGTCGTCGTTGCCGTCGTCGCGGACCAAGAAGGTCAAGATTAAGAATGGCATTATCTTGATGGTTTCTCAATGGTGCGGTCTTTTTTTTTTTCTCCCCAGCCCTCTACAACCTCCTCTATTAGCCCACCACGCCGCGCTTCCCCACTCCCACTCCCCCTTGTTCTATCGCACTTCTTCGCTCTCGCTCCTACTTTACCGCTCTTCTTCTGCCCACCCTCCCTCTGTACCACCACTATAGCCTCCCCACATCAGTAGATACCCCATCCAACATGTTTTGCGCTGTAGCAGCCAGACTCTGCCGCTCACCATGGGCTTAGCCCGATTTGACTTGAAACAAGAATCTCTCTCTCTCGTCGTGGATGGCGTCCCGAGAGTCGAAGCGTCGGAAGAAGAGGTTGTCGAGGCGCTGGAGAAGAGGATCGGCGAAGTTGGCGCGGTGAGGAGCGTCCGTGCGCTGTCTTTGAGGAGGCCGGGCGCACCTTTCGGGTCGTACATGGTTGTCCTGTGGAACAACAAACACGTCAGCGACTTCCTAGGCAACGAGGGACGCCTCTGGCTCGCCCCCACGGTCTGCGCAAGGTGCGAGAGGGCGAGAGGGAAGAAAGAGATGACGCACCGGGAGGAGGCGGGCACGGCGGCGGCGGGGGCCGCGGAAGGCGCCAAGGATGCACTGGTTGGCGCGAGGAGCATGGAGAAGGGCCCAGCAGGCGGGCACAAGTCGAAGAAGCGGGAGAAGAGTGAGGAGAAGGAGAAGAAGGACGAGCCGGCTCGCACGAAACTCGCTAAGTCCGGAGACGGCTCGCTCGCAACTTCGCCCTCGCTTGGCGGGACTGGCCGCAACTCGCCGATTACAACCATCACAACATCCTCTACACCTGCGAACCCCTTCGAGCCCGTCCTGCCGCCCGAACTCGCCAACTTCTCCATCGAGCGATCCCCCGACGCCGATTTCGGCGCCCAAGTCGACGAGATCGCGGATTCTGCGGGGGCAAAGGGTCAGCAAGTAAGTCCCCCTTCAAGCGAGTATGCAGCCCCATTGCTGCGCGCCCCTGCGAAGTCAGACGGAATTGAAGCCCGCGTTAGCGAGGACTCTTCCCTCTCCGCAGACCCGAGGAACGCACCTGCATTGCCATCGCTCCGCGCGCCCTCCACCGAGACACACCGCATTGACTCGACGCCCAATGGGGCCTCCGCCCCGTCAGCCACCGTCGCCCCCTGCGAAAAGGACAGGGTCGACAACGTCGAAGCCGGTCGTGGAAAGAGGACGATTCCTGCGGGTGCAATGCGTCAGCAAGTAAGTCACCCTCAAGTCGAGTATGCGCCCCCGGCGCTACACGCACCTGCGAAGTCAGACGGAGTTGAGACCCGCGTTAGCAAGGAACCCTCTACCTTCGCAGAAACGCGGGACGCACCTCACTTGCCCTTGCTCTGTGCGCCCTCCAACAACCCCTACCGTACCGACTTGACGCCCTCGACTGGCGCCTCCGCCCCCTCGACTTCCGACACGCTCCTTGTCGCCGAATCTCCTCTCTCCCCGACGCTCGCCGCACGCCGCCAATCCCCTTTGCCCTTCCTCGAGTCCGAGACCACCAGTGGCATCTGGACGCACGTCCCTACGCCGCTCGCCGACCGCCCGACCCAGTACCGCGCCATGCCGATCATCAACTTCGAGTCAATGGCGAGCGAAGCGGACAAGTCGTGGGCGGTCGAGACCGAGGAGGCATTTCCGATGACGAGGTCGGAATCAAAGGAGGAGAGGAGGGAGCCGGAAGTCGAAGGAGGAGAGGTGGATGGGTGGAAGAAGGTTGAGAAGTCAAGGAAGGGGAAAGAAACGGCGACGCGGGCGACGTCGACGGCGAAGGGCGAGCAAGGCAAGAAGAAGGGCGCTAAGGGGAAGGTGCTGTCAAGGGCAAGGCGAGTTGCGGTACTGGCGCCGAAGAAGGAGCTGCGGACAAAGGAGAGTCAGTCCCGCCCCGAGTCTCCCGACCCCCTCGACCTCCTCTCCCCCTCCCAATAAATGAAATCACTCACCATCGTATCCTACAACCTCAATCGCTCCAAAACCAACCTCCTCTGCCTCCTTAACAACCCAAACTCAGCCGCCATCGACCTTTTCCTGATCCAATAACCGCCTCGCGACCTCCCCACCATCCCAACGCTGTGGCGCCTCATGACCCCCCCACCAACCTCGCTCCCCAACAGCGAACCCGCCCCAACCCGCAACGTCATCCTCCTCTCAACCCGCCTTGGTCCGGCCACCACGTCGCAAGTCGCGGTCGAATCGGGCGACGTCGTTGCGGTAGACGTCGAGCTAGCATCTGGAGAACAGGCGAGAATTGTCAGTATCTACAACCCTTGCGATGACAAGTACGCAGCTCGCAGCTTCTCGAAACGACGATCCTTCCGCCGCTCCTCGCCGCGACGCCTCGCTCTTCACTTGTACTCGTCGCTGGCAACTTCAACCTGTCACACCCCAATTGGGACGAGTCAGTTGACGAACCAGACGACGAGGCAGAAAGAGCGGTGCGCACCTTCGTAGCGCACAACCTCACCCATTTCCTCCCACCCAACACGCCCACCTACTACCCGCACACCAAGTCGCACCCGCCAAAGCCACTCAACCTCGTACTCGGCTCGCTGCGCGCAGAAGACCGAGTCGTCAGCTGCGGCATCGCCGATGACCTTGAATCCGGCTCCCACCACCGCCCAGTTCGGCTCGTCCTTGCCCTCGAGACCGTCGCCTACACCCCACCACCTCGCCGCGCCTTCCGCCGCACCGACCCCGAGCTCCTTGAACGCGCCTTCCGTGACGCAACCGCCCACCTTCCTACCCCCCCGATCCTCACCTCCGCCGACATCGACCAGCGCGCAGCCGAACTCACCAACGCCCTCCAGATCGCCATCTCCGCCGCTACGCCCTTCGCACGGGCGCGAGCCGGTTGAGTCGTGTCTTGGTGGGACGAAGAGCTTGCCGAGGCGAGCAAGACGGCGAAAAGAGCAGCAAACCGCGCGTTCCGCCTACGCGGCATCACAACGCGCAGGGAGGAGGTTGAGTTTGCCAAAGGAGAGAAGAGGAGAAGGCGGAACGAATTGAAGGCGATGATGCGGAAGAAGAAGGAGAGATGGGAAGAAAGGGAATTGGCGGAGGTCAAGGAGGTGACGCTGTGGACAGTGGTAAAGAAGCGGATCAGCAACACGTCCTCCGCTAACCCCTTGACCCCACCGCTACGAAAGGACGACGGGACTTACGCAACTTCCGCCATCGACGGACTCGCCCTCCTCCGCCCGCTCCTCCTTCCCACCATCCCAGCAACGGCACCACGCGCCGTCCCGACACCCACACAACTTGCCGCAGACACGCCAATGCCACCTCCACCGATCCGCAATCTTGACATCCCAAAACCGCTCAGGTTGTGACCGCAACCTGCGAAGGCGGGAAAAGGGAGGAGAGTCAGTGGTGCACAAGTAAGCCCCGAGTTTGTTGTCCACCCCGCTACTCGAAAAACAGACGATCGCGGCGCGAGCAAGCAAGAACGCACCTGCGCAGACCCGCCCGCGACGAAGACAAAGAAGTCGGCGAAGACGGTGACAAAGACGGCGACGAAGAAGATGGCGACAAGGACGGCAAAGGCGAGCTCGGCGACAGGCAAAGAAGAAGATGCAGAAGGAGGCGGAAAGGGAGGGGAA